TGCATCCCAAAAGCATCCGCAACCATATTATGAATTCTAGAATCTTGATTTCTATTCTCCACCGACCTACTACTTTCACCAACAACCGTGTTATAAAATATTCCATGGCTACCATTGATCTCTCCATGATTAGTCCACACAAAGTAATTCTATAAACCCCTTCCTATAAAGATGAAACTTAACTTCTTCCTATTTTTTAAATTTCACACAATCTCACTTGACACAAGGGCACATAATTACTCCTTCAATTTAGTATGGTGAAAGTGACATTGCATGGCTAACAAAGTCATCAACCCCTTATACAAAACCCTCCCTCAATCCTCGCCCATTAAGATAATTCCTATTGTACACCCAAGTATGATGTTCCATCTATACAAATAAAACAAAAATAAATTGAGATATTTCCATAAGTATTGGAACTACTTAATTTATTCTACAAATTAAATCATTTTTAGTTAATTAAGATAATTAATTTTTACTAATTACAATAAAATTAAATTATAGTAAATATAATTAATTATAATTCATTCAATTTAAATATAAATTATAAGTTCAATTCATACCCAAAAGGTTCAACACTTATTCCTAAAAGTTCAATTCATATCCAAAAAGTTCAACCATTACCCCTAAAAGTTCAACTCATATCTTAAAAGTTCAATTAATATCCTAAAAGTTCAACCCATACCCTAAACAATTCAATTAACCTCACAAAACATAAGCTCTATCCAAAAAGTTCAACACTTACTCATAAAAATTTAATTCATACCCTAAAAGTTCAAGTCACAAGAACAAAGCCTAAAAGCTCAATTTAATTCAAAGCTAAACATTCAATTCCTAATTAAACTATTCAAGTCAATACAAACTTAAACATTCAATTTACACCATATGTAATAAATTCAATTTAATTAAAACAAGACCTAAACCCTAGATTTCAATAAAATGCAAAGTTAAACAATCAATATTCATAAGTAATTAACAAAACATTAAATTTATGCAAAAAAAATGTAAGTTCTAATTCAAACCTGGAATTTTTAGGAGTGTAACAACCGGACCGATCGTTTTGGAAATTAGCATCTCATTCGGTAGCTTAAGACTTCCAACAGCTTCGTATAATGTAATATGACTTACGTGTCTGATCGAGTTTGGTTTTCGAATGATTTGGGATCAATTTAGAAGAACAATTCTTGTTTTAGAAGTTTAAGTGAAAAGAATTGACCGGAGATTTGACTTTTGTGTAGACGACTTCGGAATGGTGTTTCGATGATTCTAATAGCTTTGTATGGTAACTTCAAACTTAAGCGTGTGTCTGAATTTTGATTTGGAGGTCGTAGGTTAAATTAAAGCATTTTGGCGAAAATCGGAAAGTTGAAGTTTTGAAATATTCATAAGTTTGACCAGGAGTTGATTTTGATGATATCGGGCTCAGATTTCGATTCCAGAAATTTGAATAGCTTTGTTATGTCATTTGTGACTTGTGTGCAAAATTTTAGGTTATTCCGAATCAATTTGATATATTTCGGCGCAAATTATAGAAGTTGGAAGATTTGAAAATTCATAAGTTTGATTCGATGTGTAATTCATAATTTCGACATTGTTTGATGTGATTTGAGGCCTCGAATAGGTCCGTGTTATGTTATGGGACTTATTAATGTATTCGTACGGGGTCCCGAGTGGCTTGGATGAGTTTCAGATCATTTTGGAAATTTTGTTAAGGTTGGTTTTTGGAAGTCACTGATGTTATTTCACCTGCGGTGGATTTGACCGCGGGTGCGAGACCGTGGGCGAGGCAGTGATCGCAGAAGAGAAAATGGTAAGGACTGGGCAGTGGTCGCAGGTGCGAAGTATATCCTGCACCTGCATGATCGCAGAAGCGGAAAATAAAGGCGCAGAAACGGAGGCCTTCGCAGGTGCGCTTCTTGGCTCACAAAAGTGACACCGCAGGTGCGAAACCTGTGCAACTAAGTGAAGTACGCAGGTGCGAGATTTTTCTCGCAAAAGCGAGCTTGCAAGCGCGCAAATCCAGTCCGCAGATGCGAGGAAATTGGGCAGAATCATATATTCGGGGGTTGCCATTTTTACTAATTTTTGGAGTTTTGGACCTCGGTTTTGGGCGATTCTGGATGGATTCTTCACGAGTTTGATTTTGGTTAGTGTTCCTTAATCGAAAGTGATTGTATTTCATGATTTCATACGTATTCATGTCATTAATTTTGTGAATTGAATGGAAGAAAATGGAAATTTGGAAAATCTTTCAAAAATGTAAAATGAAGATTTAAAGGGTGATTCGATAGCGGAATTTGATAGTTTTGGTGATTGAACTCGCATCGGAATGGGTGTTCGGATTTCTTAAAAATTTTATCGGGTCCCGAGATGCGGGACCCGAGTTGACTTTCGGGTGACTTTTAGTGTAAAATTAAAAGTCAACGTTTTATTATTCGTAATTGTTTTCTATGAATTTTAATTATTTTATGAAATTATTTTGGCTAGATTTGAGCCGTCCGGAGGCCGTTTCACGCGGGAAGGTCATTTTAGAGTATCGGCCTAACTTCGTAAAAGTAAGTATCTTGCCTAACTTTGTGTTGAAAAAACTACCCCTTAGGTTTTGGATTGATGATACTATTTGAATTATATGGAAGGCCTGTATACAATGTGACGAGTATGTACACGGACTTGTTTGTGGTATTCGACCGAATTAGATAGTTAGGCTTCTTTCATGCAATTAATTGTAGTTATTGTTCATGTTATATCTTTCATCGTTAGGATTGCTCTTACGTGCTTTACTTGAAGTTGTTAGTACATGATCCATCTTTTGTTGTCAATTTCATCCTTACATGCTAATTGTAGATTTTAATTATTTGTTAAATTCATGTGTTATCTGCTACATGCCTTAATTGATGCTCAGAAATTGTGTCTTGGTTTATGGGTTGTCATTCCTTGCTATTTGATTTCGTGGGTTATCGTGTGACTATTTTATCAGTTGTGACTTCTTTGTGTAGCCTCGTTATTCCTTTTGATTTTGTGGTACGTCGTAGTTGGCTTAAATTGTTTGCTTAAATGATGATATGTGTGGGATCGGGTTACACACCGCAACAGTAATGAAAATGATGATCTGTGTAGGATCAGGTTGCACGCCGCAACAGTAATGAAAATGATGATATGTGTGGGATCGGGTTGCAAGCCGCAACAGTAATGAAAATGATGAAATGGCGGAATAAGTATGGATTATGATATATACTAATTACATTATTGCTTCTTCACAAGTCTATCCCAAAAGAACCTGACCCCGTGATCCTACCGCTTCGCGTTCTTAGATGCGGCTATACCTCTCTCTCTCTCTCTCTCTCTCNTATATATATATATATATATATATATATATATATATATATATATATATATATATATATATATATATATATATACATTTCTTTAACTATATATAGCTTGTTATTATATATATTAGTGCATTCATTATTTGTATTACAAAATAAAGTGTTAATGATTATATTTATATTATTTAGATAGTAAATTTAAATGTGATTCAAAAGTTTGACCATGTTTGACCTATGAACCGACCGAAGTTGGTCGGTTATATTATAGAATTTACAGCTACGGACCAAAGTCGGTCGGTACTGACTTTGGTCGGTAATTTCAACTATAAATTTTATAAAATATTTTTAATAATGATATAATTATTAAAATTTAAATTGTGGGTCCATAGTACGGAGGTTGGTCGATAATCAAAAAAGTGCTTTGACTAAGCAAGTCTGACCACTGCGGTCAAATATTTGACCAATATACCGATCGATTTTGGTCGGTAAGTAATTTTAAAAAAATATAAAATATTCTTTTGGTAGTTTGCGTTCGCTTTGGACGATTTTTTGGTCGCTTTTGTTGACCAACTAATATTGCTCGGTATGTTTTGATCGGATTTTCCCGAATTTCTAATAGTGATGTAATCTTAACATGAATAGTGAAATCAAACATATCGGCATGTTTCTGCCTCGTATTTCAGACCATCTGCCATCTAACACGTGATTGCGAGCACAACTTTATTCTTTCCAAAATAATAATATTCCTTTCGGTTCAAAATAAATAAGTGATTTTTTGGATGTTTTTACACAGATTAAGAAATTCATCTTTTAGCATTAATTAGCAATGAAATTGACCATATTAACCTTTACTATCTCATATAAGCACTCCTAACACATATTCCAACACCATTTACTTTAAGGACAATGTAGAAAAAAAATAATTAATTCATTCTTGAAATTTAAAAAAATTATTTATTTTGGACCACAAGAAAAAGGCTAAAAAATCACTTATTTTGGACCGGAGGAAGTAATACGTTTTAAAACAAAGAAAACAACAAAAAATTACATATTGAAAACATCGAACCACCAAACTTCCTTAGATTCTCTCCCCACCGTCTAAATCTCATTCCTAATACCCAAGTTGTTCCTCCTTAAAAAAAGCCATTATACAAATAATTTTTTTAATTTTTAACCCACTTTCCATATGGTTTTCTCTAAATCTTGAAAAGCTATGTTAGATAACCTTGAACTTTAACGGTTTGAATACTTCCTCCTATATCTAGTAAGCAAAAATCAACCATCCAACTAAGTGGCGTTTGGACATAGGAATTGTAAAATTCCAGAAAATGAAAATAATATTTGAAAATTCGAATTGTGTTTGGATATAAATATAATTTTGGGTTGTTTTTGAATTTTTGTAAGTGATCTGAGTAAAAAATTTAAAAACCACCTTTTTAAAAAAATTTCAAATATTTTAAAATTATCTTGAAGTAAAAATTAAAAATTTTATGAACAATAATAATTTAAAAAACAAAAATTAGAAAAAAAAGTGAAAATATTATCATGGCCAAACAGGCTCTAAGAATAATTAGTTTGTACTTTCTTGGGCATCATCATCTAAACATTAAAATTAATTTATCACTTATCAGCTGTTTTTCTCATATATCAAAATAACAAAAGTATAAACACTTAACTTCACTCAACAAAGTGAAATGCGACAATGAAGTCGTCTTAAATCATCAGAAGAGATAATATTTCCTTTTGAATTGACAGAAAAGGACATGGATTTGCCATACATGAAAGGATAAATTACAAGGACAAAGTTGTCCTAAATGGACACACCTCTGTTTAACATTTCTTTGTACCTTTGAATAGAATCAATTCTCTGCATTTTCAACTGCTCTCTAAACTTGCTAATAAAATCATCAGCTTTCCTATCTACAGTAGCTTCATCATCCCGGCCAAACGACTTCTTCATCCCCTGCTTTTTCTCCCTCACCGTCGCCGGCCGCTGCCGAACCACCACCTCTTCTTCCTCCTCCTTCAGCACTGCCGCCAGTATTTCCTCACTAGCCAACTTCTTCATTAACGTAGTTTCCGCGCACGTGGTAGATTTACTTCTCATCACGTGACATTGTAAATCTTCTTCTTCTTCTTCTTCTTCTTCAGTTACAGTTACAGTTTCAACCTTCTGAGGTTCATTTTCATCAGCTGGACCGGCGGCGTATTGGTCCAGAGACGGAAACGGGCTGGGTTTTTCGGACCGGGGGGAGAAAGAGAAGTTGATAGACCGGACCCGCTGAAGGAAAGAGGGACTGTAGCCGAATCGGGGTGAAGAGTCGTCGGCGAAATGAGGAGTATTTAAAGGGGAATTAAAGGGCTCAGGGACGAAAGAGAAGTAATTTACAGACCTAACACGCTGTAATAAAGATGGAGTTCGGGGAAGTTGAGGTAAGTTATTATCTTCAGCGTATTGTTGTTGTTGTTGTTTTTTGTCATTCTTGAAGCTAGAAGAAATGAGAATAATACCAATCATGAGGTTGAGAACGCAGAAAAGAACAGTGGGAGTGAACCAGCTGGACAGAGATTCAATCATGGTTGTTTACAATATAATGACAGAGTTTTTGTGTTATATGTATGTTGAGGCAAAGGAGGAAGATGAGAGAGCTAGTTAATTAGGGTTCCCAAGTTGTAACCAATAGGAGGAGAGTTTCTATTTATAGGGTGAATGTGTAGTAGTAACGGGGAAATAAGAAGATGGTTAAATTTATAGACAAAGCATGTGACTAAAATGTGGTACTATATATATCAAATGCTACCTTCAATGAGTCAAGTGTCTTCTTTAATCCTATTGTTTTTTTTTGGAAGGGTTTATGTTAGGTCATTTAAAAAAAAATTTGTAAGTAACTCTATTTAATATCTCTCCATTTTAATTTATATGTGAACATGTTTGGTTGGGTACGAAATTTAAAAAAAAATAAAAAAAAATTAAAACTTGTGGTCCTAAACAAGTTAAAAAGAGGTCTAGAGTATTTGTGTAGTTATAAAAACTTCTCATTAATGACAAAATTAGAAGTTTAAGCTAAATTATTTTCAAATTTAAAAATGAGTCATTCTTTTTTGAACGTACCAAAAAGAAAATAGATTTACGTAAACTGAAACGGATATAATAACTTACAATAAATAGTAAATTCATCTATTATAAGAGCTTAAATTACGCTAATAGTGTAAAATTTTCATTATAATTCTATCAAATGTTAATAAAACTCTGAAATGGCATTGGGCGCAGGGGCGGCCTCGGATTCTCCTAATTATGTTATTAAAAAAACTCCTATTAGGATAAGAATTCGTGACTTGGGAGTCTCATTCAACTAGTAAACCAAACCAACTCTTTATCACGCATGCAGGATATAAATATTGATGCATGCTTTTCAAGCCCCAAGTTTATACTCTCTCCGTTATAATTTACGTGAACCTTTTTGATTGGGCATGTAGTTTAAAAAAAAATAAAGATTTTTGAAATTTGTAGTCCTAAACAAGTCAAAAAGAGGTCCAGAGTATTTGTGTGGTTATAAAAGTTTCTCATTAAGGGTAGAATTGTAAGTTTATGCTAAATTATTTTCAAATTTAGAAATAGATCATTTTTTTCAACGAACCAAAAAAAAAATAGGTTCACATAAACTGCAACGGAGAGAGTAGTTTATTAATGTACATCATCGTTGCGTTCAACTGAATTTAGTATCTTGCATATACTGAATAACAATATATAACTATAATTTTAATATAATATATATATATAATTCTAAACCTATTCTTTTAAAATTAGAATAAATTCAACTTAATATTAATCAAATTTAAATCCGTAATTTGCATTTGCTCTAATTACTTGTGCAGTTGCCCCATATAGAGATCTGTGTCTTGGAATTTGTAATTAGGAGGAGCGAGAAACAAGAAGGGAGATGCAAACTGTAAAGTATGAGACAGCGGTCATGTTGTAGTCTTTGTCAGTATTTAATTTATACTTATTTTTCTGTTCACACGGTTAGATTTTGGATGTGTTCAACATAGGTTTATACTAGAGCTGTGCATAATTTGGTAAATACTGAATTATCGTGTCGAAATCGAAAATTTTTGTATTTGGCATTCGGTATAGTAGTTGATTTAATTATTTTAAAAAAAAATTAGTATTAGGTATGGTATTTGGTATTTTAAAATGAAATATCGAAATACCGATACCGTACCGAAATATATATTATATTACACAATACACATATTATAACATAAATATTAAAAATATAAAATTTTGCTATCCTTTATTCTCTAAGTTCATCAAGTAACTCTAAGCAAGTAACAAGACATTTCTAATGATCAAATTTATTCCTTTATGTACAATTTTCTCTCTCTGGGTTGATATTTACTGGTTTTGGATAAAACTTTTGTCAACAAACATTTTTAGTTCTGTACTTTTGTGTACTTTAATTAAAAATATTACATTCTATGACTCTACGCACAAGTTAGTATTCAAACCGAATAAATCGAAAATACCGAACCGAATAAACCGAAATCGAAAGGAGAAAAACCAAACCATACTGAACTTAATTAGGTACGATATTGGTATAACATTTTAAGAAATCGAATACCGAAAATACCGAACCAAAATGTCTAAATACCGTATCGTACCGACCGACGAACACCCATAGTTTATATGGAGCCTTATCTTTTAATATTACTTAATATTCCCTCTGTTCCAGTTTATGTGAATCTATTTCCTTTCTGGTCTGTTCCAAAAGGAATGACCTATTTCTAAATATGGAAATAATTTAGCTTAAACTTACAATTCTAGCCTTAATGAGAAGCTCTTATAACCACACAAATACTCTTGGGCCCTTTTTAACTTGTTTAGGATCACAAATTCCAAAAATCTTCATTTTTTCTTAAACTCTGTGGCTAGTCAAACATGTTCACATAAATAGAACGGAGGGATTACTTTTTAAAATTCACCTCTTTTCGTATTTGCCTCGTGACTTTAATATTCCCATTCAAAACTCAAGTAATAAATAGAATTGATATATATATGCCATATGTTGAGCCGTGAAAGCACTCATTAATACGTATTTTACGATAACTTGTCTACATTACATCTTTTGAATTACGGCCTTTTCCCGAACATTATTTGAATGCAAGATGCTTTGGCACCAAATTATTTTTTTTTCTAAGTACTTTGAATAGATTGACTTAAAACGGGATTAGAAAAGACTATCTAGAGGGACAGTTTACATTATTGTACATATTAATTAGCTGATGATGGCAACATTTTGCATGGTGAATTAATAAAGCTTGAAATACGGTATGCAACATAAAAGATTATAAAATATATGAAAAAAACACTTATCTGACTATTTCTAAGACTAATGTGAAGGTATAAGTCCAAAGGAAGTATTGGTAATTAATACACCATTATTCAGACGTGTGAAAGGCCAAATCTTAGGGCAAAACAATTGGAATTAAGTAGCTACTCTCCTGACTCTTCCCAGAACAGTCGGTTCTATTTATTAATATTATAACCCAGATTAATGTCATCCACGTCAACCAACTCTGCTCTTCATTTTTGTAGTAGAAAAAATACAAAAGAATTCTCCTCTTCATTTTTGTTTATCCTTTCCTGCATGCTATATAGACTTTCAACTCTACCGGCCAAGCTGCTAAATTCCAACATTATTAAGTTACTTGGGGGGAGGGGGTTGTTAGAAAATATAGGTAAGTAACAGAGAATTAAAGGCTTTGAGGCGTGAAAGACCACTATCTTTCAAGAGTTATTGCCTATATATACTTTAGAGATTACAAGCAATTCTCTATCAGGATACAACAAAGCCTGAAACATACGTGCAGATTGAATGCTCTACTTCTAGGATGTCTTCCGTATTTATAGATAAGAAAAGGAGACTTTTCTGAAGAGACGCCCCTTTTCACGAATAGCCACAATTCTTTCTATTAATTTAAATTTAAATTTAAATTTTAAATAACAAAAAGTTGTTCCAAATAAAATACGAAAAATAAAATCTTTATTTAAAGTTCCAACCCGGCCCGCACCCAAGCCCCAAGTCCAAGTCCAAGTCATTTAGATATATAATTAAATATATATCATATATATATATATATATATATATATATACACATATTTTTCTAAATATGTCAATTGTTCATTTTATTGGACTTAATGGGCCAAGCTTTACAAAGCCAACTAAATGGCTTATGGCCATCGGTGTGGGACTCCCACATAATACAAACTACTCTAACAATCCCCACTAGTTTGTAATATGTCTCATAACATCATGCATATCGAAAAGTATCTTATATAAATTGAACTTTTCATTAGTGTAAGTACCTTAAAGTTTGACGAAGTTAATGGTATCCTAAGATTTGAACCACAACTCCATTTGTCAGATCGAAAGTATCACACACATAATATTATTAAGTAGAGAAACAATCCAGTATTATGCTTTATCACTTTTATGGCCATGTGCTAATCCATATTCATGAATATTTACAAGATCAGCTCCTTAAATCTTGTTAGAAGTGGCACCACCTCAATATTCATATAGGTGGAAATAGACTTTATGTCCCTGTTACTACAGACATTTGCTAATTCCGTTAAGAATTAATTCACCCTCGTTCTTGTAACAGTATGCACTTGAAAGTTTGTCATTATGCCCATGTTATTACAGACATTTAACAACTCCTAAACTCCTCACATAACAGTAAACACTACATAGGAATCTAGGCTCTAATTGAGAAGATTCGTGCTTAATCAACACAAGCAACTTGTTATTACCCATTGAACTTATATTGTTAGATTGTATACCAACTCAAAGTTGGGTTCCCATAGCTTGTGATTAATTTAAGAGTTTTAGCCCCATTCCTTCACTAGTTTGTTGTACTGCATCTCTATTTAATGTCTTTGTAAGTGGATCTGCCAGATTCTTATTTGATCTTACATACACTATAGCTATAGTTCCATTTGTAACTAATTCTCTTATATAAGCATGCCTTAAGCTTATATGTCTTCTATTATACATTTTGTTATGAGCTACACACATAGTAGTCTCACTATCACAAAATATTGAAATGGCTGGCATAGGTTGTGGCCACAATTTTATATCTAGTAACATATTTCTTAGCCATTCCGCTTCTTTTCCGGCAACTGCTAATGCAATAAACTCAGATTCCATAGTAGAATGAGAAATGCAAGTTTGTTTCTTAGATGCCCAACTAACGACGCCACCCCCCAAAGTAAATATCCAACCTGAAGTAGCCTTACTATCATGTATATTTGTAACCCAACTCGCATCAGAGTATCCTTCTAATACGATGGGAAACCCATTATAACAAATGCCCAATTGTTTTGTTCTCTTTAAATATCCAAGTATTCTAATTATAGCTTTCTAGTAAGTATTACTTGGATTGCTTGTAAACCTTGAAAGTTTACAAACGGCAAATGTTATGTCAGGCCTAGTGCAGTGCAGTGCATACATCAAACTTCCAATTGCACTTGCATACTCTAATTGAGCAACTGTTCTTCCAGTATTCAGTAAGTTTGATGCTTGAATCATATGGAGTTTTAGACTCCACTATGCCCAGATGACCGCACTTGGTAAGAACTTTATCAATGTAATGAGGTTGTGATAAAATTACTCTCTTATCACTTCTTTGAACCTTGATACCTAAGATAGTATCTACTTCATTCAAATCTTTCATTTTAAAGACTAAAGTTA